GCGGGGAGGAGGGGGGCTGTAAATGCACACAGGGGTCCTTGACGCTGGGCCTGCAGCAACTGGGCCACGACCAGCAAGTGTAGCTACCTTTGTTCTCACTGGAGAGGAGCTATTGAAATGTTATTCAAAGGGATGCTAATCCCCCTGCAAGAGCTGAAAGGTCCTCCGGTCTGCTCTGGTGAGGAGAACAAAAGAAAACAGAAAATCAGCAGCATGTTGTAGGTTAGGGTAAAACCTAAAGCTCTCAGGTAGCAGTGACAAGGGGAAATGCAGTGGACATCCCTGTGTCGTGTGAGATTAGCAGAACGATCTTCCCGAAGGGCACAGGGAGAGAGCATGGCCACTGAATTCAATTTAACTAATAAGTTTGTGGTATGGGGAGTTGAACCCAGGACCTACCTTCCCACTGAGCTACATCCCCGGCCTTTTTCTTTTGAGACAAGGTCTCCCTCACTTTCTACATCATCCAGGCTAGGCTGGAACCTGCGCTCCTCCTGCCTCAGCTCCCCGGGGGCTGGGATTACAGCCAGGATCAGTCTTAGCCCCATGCCGTGGGTTGCTGCAGCGCCTCCCAGCTCTGAGTGGCTGGAGGTCCAGCAGGTCACGGACAGCAGATGGCCTGGGTCAGCTCCCAGGATGGCCTGTCCTGGCCGTGCCACTGGGCCCCACCCCACAGCATGGCTGTGCAGGAGGGCAACACACGGGGTGGGCAGGGCAGTGCCTGGCACAGGCTGTGTCACCACGCCCAGGTGGGAATGCAGTCTATTTTTTTTTTTTTTGGTACTGGGGATTGAACTCAAGGCCTTGCACTTGTGAGGCAGGCGGCGGAACCACTGAGCTAAATTCCCTGCCCAATGCAGTCTGTTTTTGTTGAGAGGCTGAGGAGAGACAGGAATCACTCGGCAAGTGAAGGGCTCTATCCAAGAGGCTGTCATGGGAGGGTGGGAGCACTGCACAGAGAGAGTGAGGAAGAAGAAGAGGCCAGAAGCAGAGAAAATGACTGGGGAGACCGCGTCCCGCCACCCACAACGTCACCGGCGCTGGGGGTCACAGTGCTCCCCGGCCCTGGGAGGTCCTGCCAGGGGCTTGCTGGCGTGGACACTCGGGGAGAAGCAAAGGGTTCTGTGGAAGCCAGGTCCCTGACTTGTCCCTGAGCCTGCACCCCATGTGGCTTCTCCCGAGTAGGCCAGGGGAGAAGCAGCTGCCGAGGCAGCAGTGACCAGCGGGGAGCAGGGCAGACCTGTGACGGTACCTCCAACTCCGGATCAGGGCCAAGGAGGCGCACGAGGGGACCCTGCTTAGCAAGCCTGTGGCTGGATGCTAAAGAAAGCACAAATCAGCCCTCCATTTCTAGCAGCAGAGCAGCTGGGATCATCTGAAAACCTTCCTGCAGGAAGACAATTCAGGGAGAGTTATCACCCACAACCTTTCATTTTTTAAAATTTTTATTTATTTATTTATTTATTTAGGTACTGGGGACCGAACTTGGGTCCTTGTGCTTGCACAGCAGGCAGCGAAACCACTGAGCTAAATCCACAATCTTTTAAACACACCCGCAACTCCTGCTTAATACAACAGAACTGAACTACTTGGGTTACTAAACATGGCAAAATGGTCTATGTCCCATTTCACTTTAAGTACAGTCATGCTCAGTAGTTTCATTTGACTCAGATCTATGGGTGATGTCGTATTCTTGAAGAAAACTGACAGAAAATTAGCAACATGCAATACTATCCTCGTAAGATTTGCCCGAGGGCACTGACAGGTGGGCTCCCCGGGGAAATGCGGGTGTGTGAGAAGGGGACCTCAACGAGGACCTGCCAAGGGATTTTGTCCACGTTGCTGCCAAAGCTCACAGAGAGCGGCAGAAGTGAGTCATGGCGTCGCTTGTTCCATCCCTCTCTTCCGCTGTGCAATGTTACTGCCGCTGTCAGATCAAACAGAAAGACTCTAGCTACTTCCAACTTTGCTAATCTAGCTTTGTCATACTTCTCAACAAACAAAGCGTTTCACTCCACTTCTCTGCAATACTTTGTGGTGGAGAGCAGGGGCAGGCCTCGAGCCATGCAGCCTGGTTACGTTCACCAAGACCCCTGCAAACATGGTGCTTCGGAGCAGCGCAGTACATTGTATCTGCACGACACCTTCCTTCCACACCCTTCTGGGGCCTCTTCCACCTGCCTCACCAAGGTCACATCTCAGGAGGCAGCACCCGGTGCCTGGCAAGGGATGGCGACCCCCGCTGGGCCGCTGAGGTTCCTTCAGGTTGGTCCCCTGGTCACCAGTTCAGAGTTGGCAACAGAACTCCAAACAGCTCAGCCAGCTTTCATTTGTCTGTGCTGTGGTGTTGGGGACCAAACCCAGGGCCTCTGCATTGAGCCACACGTCCCATCCTTTTCTGTTTTGAGACAGGGTCTTCCTAAGTTGCCCAGGCTGGGCTCCAACTTGGAACCCTCCTGCCCCAGCCTTCACAGTGCTGGATTACAGGTGTGTGAATGGCAGTGTCCAGTGTCCTTACCTTCTAAGCATCAGGTTCTTAGAAGTGTGTGGACATGTTTCAGGACTCAACAAACTTGGGTGCTATTTCGACAAACTGGCTGAGGGAGCCACCCGTGTGATTCCAGACTGGAGGGGGCTCCGAGATGGGGGACTGGGGGGCAGCACACGGGGCAGCGGTGAGAGGGGAGAAAAGGCCACAACCAAGCTCCATGGAGAGTGATTCCCTGAGCATCTTTCGCCAGGCGCTGAGGGGCACAGATAATACCACCCAGCTGGGAAAGCAGAAGAAAGGCAGGCACAGACAGGGAGGCAAGTGTGAAAAGGAAAAACGGGGCACTGAGAGCTCGGGGGAAGGGGGGACTGGGTCCTGGCAGCAATAAAGAGAAAGCACAAAAGAATAGCAAGAGAATCACTGTAAAAGAATTTTATTAGTTCTGACTGAAGATTCAAGCACAAGTCTGTTAAACAATTCAGTCACTTAATGAAAGTGTTCCCTAAGTTTATAAGGCAGTTATTTTGATTTAGGAACTGGGTTCTTGGCTACCCTTGATGGTTATCCTTTATTACAGGGGTTATATTTTTGTTTAACATTGACTCTACCAAAAAGTCTGTTCTCTGGCAGTGCCAGACTAAACAAGGACAGAGCTTTCTGAGAAAAATTCGTGCATGCAGGGGCCTCTGCAGATGGGGAAAGTGCATCTGAGGGGCCCTGTGGGGAGGGCAACACTGTAGCCTACAAGGGGCCACAGCCCTCCTTAACTCTGGCCAAGACTACCTGGCCTTGGAAAATGGTGAGTGACAGTGACAGTCACCCTCAGCACTCCTGCCAGATTTGGGGTCCACAGGCGAGGGGACTTGCCCGGGACACTGCGTTTACCAGTAGGGTTACCTGCCCTGGGACACGAAGAAGAGGGACAGATGCAAGCAACAGAGCAAGAGTCACAGCTTCCTGGTTGCAAATAGCCCAGACCTGCCTGCAGGGTGATCACGTGGCCCCTCCTCCAGCTTCAGGATGTGGAAATCTGAGTCTCAGAAAAGTGAAGTGGCAGGCCTCAAAACCTGGGGCTGGCGCTCTCTGGGTTGCCTCCTCTCTCCTCGGACATATACAAGCTCTTTAATTTGTAATTCAAAAGCTTAGCTGCTCACAACTCGAAGATGATCAGAATCCTGCAGGAAATTTCTCCTGAGGAGTTAACATGTGGTTTACACCTCCAATCTTAAAAAAAATAACTCCATATGGACGCGTCTCTATGTGCAATGTAATTATTGTTACTTTGACCTGGTAACATTCCAACAGAAACACATCAATGAACTCGTCACCCTTCGGGAGGGGACAAAGACCCACTGCTGCTCTAGGACCCTCTAGGACCAAAAGGTCAGTTACCTTGAGAAGAAATCTTTACAGGGTCATTTTGTTTTTGTTTTCTTTTTGGTGCTGGGGACTGAACCCAGGGTCTCCAGTCCTCTGCCACTGAGTTACACCTTTAGCCTCTCTGGTTTTTTCTTTTTTTCAAACCAATGCAACACAAAAGCTCCCCAAGCCCTTTCTGTTACCGTGGGCCACTTTTCTGCACCTAATGCTTCCTAAGCCAGTGCCCACCCGCCCCGGGCAGTTTGTTGTTGAGAAACTTCACCAGTGAAATACATTTCTACCTGGAAGGTAGCCTAGTTAGAGAACGGTTCCTATTGCCCGCGATGAGGCAGACCATCTGTGCCCTGCAGTGGGCGGGGGAGGCAGAGGTCTGAGATGACAGGAATCTTTACTGTGAGAGGAAGATGGTACATATGTGGCACAAAAAAGAAGCAACGTTCCTTTAAGGGTCCCTTACCAGAAGGCTGAGTTTTTAGCACTAATGTGTGCAATTAAGACCCTAAGAGGTCCCCCACCCCCCACCCTGCTGGGACTCGGCTTCTGGGACCTAAGGCCTTTGATCCGCTCACCAGAGTCCTTCCATATGGACCAGCTGGCTTCCCAGAAAGGATAGCAGAAATGGAAATCGACCGGTTTGAACAAAGTCAAAAGAGCACACAGAACTGTGAGCGGAAGGAGGAGACAGGCATGAACGTAAGGGCTGCTTAGATTCCCATTTTCCAGGAAAGACGGCTCTTTCCTGGGCCTAACTTCCTTGGCTCAGAAGTCTAGGATTTGCTTTTTTTTTTTAAGGACTTTTGAGAGAAAGCTGGACATGAAAGAGGTGGTAAAATAAGTCATATTGAGCGACTGATCATAAGAATTACCTCCGCTCCTTTGGGTCTTCTGTACAGAATGCGATCATCACATGAAAAACGTCGCCTTTTAATTTTGTTTAAAGCATCTGCACATCCCTAGTGAACAATAACCGCTAACACTTCCTCTTACGCCGTGCGCTGGCCTAGGCGCCCCCCCCCCCGCCCGCACGCAGCCCACAGGTGTGAAGCCCGCAGCGGGCTCGGCGCGGTCCCCGACCCGCACCCGGGCCCGCCCCGCCCGGCGCCCCGAGAAAGTGGAAACGAGTCGGTACCGGCGGGCAGGTGTCCAGCTTTGGTCTCTACTTTCCCTTCGGGAGGCGAAGACATGGCGACACGGGGCTTCCGACGGGCCCGGGCCGGGGCGGCTGCGCGGCGGGAGTGCGCGTGTGAGCGCGAGTGTAAGCAAGCGAGGGAGGCGCGCGCCGCGCGGGCACATCAACAGCTCCGCCGGCCGGGGGCGTGACCGCTGGCTCCGACGTGGCGCGGCCCCGCCTACCCACGCCGTGCGCCCTGACGCAATCGCGCCGGTCCCCTGGGCGCGCTCCCTATGGAGCATGCGCAGTCCTCTGTGCCACGTTGGAAACTGCTGTGGCGAGCTGAGCGGGAGAACGAGGGCGGGGTGTTTGAGGTTAGAGACTCGTGGACCAGGCTGGTGGGAGTCAGGGACAGTCGTAGGAAGTTGAAAAGGGCCCAGCCTGAGGATGGCTGCTTCCTCTTGGGAACAGCTTCGCTAGTGCTGCTAGATAAGCGGGGACGGCGGTGGGGTGCTGAACCGCACAGTGCAGGGCCCCCGGGGAACTGAGGGGTCTCGGCCACAAAGGGGCCGCCTGCTAAGTGCCCGGCCTGCAGCGCCTCCTACAGTGCGGACTTGAGACCCCCAGATGGGGCGGTGGGGCCGGAGGAGAGGGATCCGTTAGGAGAAGGTAGAGCGGGGACACCCCCCTCCTTGGGTGAGGAAGGCGGTGCTGTGGAACCTGGGCAGTGCGGTCCCCCTACCATCAAGGAGTGGGTTCCGGCCAGAGCCGACCCTTTGCCCTTGTACTCTGGGTCGCAGCCCTCGCCTTTTTCGGAACCATCCAGCATTCAGACAGGCCCCACACCTTCGGAAAGGGAAACACCATCACCGCTGTCGGCTGGCCATTGACCTTTGGCAACAAGGTGTCGCGAGAGCTCGGATACCTCACCCCTTCCCATCCCAGGCCAACCTATCTGTTTTTCATCCAAGGTCCCCCATCGCTGGCCACAGCCACGCAAAAGTCGAGGTCTCTAATGACCTCCGTGCTGCGGAAACTAGTGGTTCTTTACACGCTCATCCCTTGTGACCTAGCAGTGCTTGAGGTAGCCGACCGTCCTCTTTAGCTTCAGGGTTGTCATCCAGTTCTCGGGCCACCAAGGCTGTTCACTCAGTCGGGTTGGCTGGCTTCTCTTCTGGATTTCTAAATATTTATCCCAAGTCTCAGCATTGGCCCTCTTCCCTAGACTTTGCTAAGACAGTATCTTAGTCGTTTTTCTTGTGCTATGAAAAAAATCTGGAAGTGGGTAATTTATAAAGAATAAGGATTTAGTTGGCTCAGGGTTCCACAGACTGGGAAGTGCAAGGGCATGATACTGGCATCTGACTTGGGCCTTGGTGCTGCGTCATCCCAGGGTGGAAGGCAGGGAGGACCAGAGGATGCGAACAAGGGAGCAGGAGAGGGCTGAACTTGAATTTTGTATCATAGCCACTCTCTGGCTAATTCATTTCTTCAATAGCAACATCATTCATGAAGGTCATTTCCTAATCACCTCTCATAAGAACCCCATTCCCAACACTTTGGCACTGGGGATTTAGTTTTCCACCCATGAACTTTGGAGGATTTGTTCAGATCATAACAGATGGCCACATGCAGGCCCATGAGTTATGAGTTTAATCCATTTGCATACAAACGCCGGGTCTACAAAGCTGTTTCTCTTTCCTTGGTCTCTTGACTGAGTTCCAGATTTCTATATTCACTGCATATTATGGATGTCTTAAAGTGAGCACTACCCAAATCTCTCTGCATCAGGGCACTCAGAAATGGACGTATTACAGGTATTCACTGATCTTGCACCCCACCCACGTATTTCAGTACCACAACAGCTGTTGGCCAAGCAGCAGTAACGATACAGCTTGCGTCCACACAAAAATTTCCAGACCACTTATCAGCAGTTTAGAAGAAAATCTTGGAATCAATAGTAGAGTGCTCCTTTTTTTTTCTTTTCTTTTTCAGGGCTGAATATTGAAACCAGGGCCTCCTGGATGTAAGAAAAGCACTTTATCACCAAGGTATATCCCAGCCCTGGAGCAGCCTTTTAAGAGGCACTTCATCACTAACACTTGCTGGAACAGGGTGAGCAATTCTGAAGATAGTGACTTGGACTCTGAATTCGGAAAAACTTGGAGATACTTAACCACTTAAAGTTTTTTCCTTTTATGTATGTGCTGTATGGCTAAAAACACTGACTTAAGTCTAAACACTTTCTAAGGAATATAAAGGAAACATTTTAGGTTGATAGAAAACATATCACAGTTTAACTGGCAGCATTTTTTCCCTTTGTAGTACATAAAGTTGCATGCCCACACTGTGGCATCCAGAATCAGTAGCAAGCAGCACTGTTAGCAAATGCTGGGATAAACAAATGACTTTCTGAGGAAGGAGCAGAGCCAGTCAGATTCTGGTGGCTGCTGGCACCCCTGAACTGACTTGACCTGTGGGAGGACTTACCTTTGGTGGTGACCTATTTTCCAGGACTACACACGTGGGGACACCTTCGTGAAAGCACATGTTCAGTTTCACACGTTCAACCCGTTTCACCCATCTACCTACAAGTAGTTTCCCATCTAGAATAGAACCCAAGCTACTCTGTACAGTGTGGAGTAATCCACCTACTCGAAAGCATTCCTGTTGAAGGAAATACTGTTGTTTAAGGAAGTAATGAACTTTAAAAAGCATGTACAGTATTTTCTTTTTTGTCAGTGCATTTTTGCATTACATTACGATTACATGCATTGTATGAGTTACATGTACATAATAGATCTTAATTCTTATGTATCCCCTTTCCCACCCTTTGCTTTTGGCTGCATTTTTTCCCCTACTCTCCCTACTTCCTCCACTCCCCCATCACTTATCTTTTATTTTGCTCTGTATATTTTGGGTTTTTCATTTAAGAGAAACCATGCAATGTTTAAGCTTTTGTGTCTGATTTATTTCACTTAGCATTATGGTCTCAGGATGCATCCATTTATCTACAAATGCCTCAAGTTTTTCGTTCTTTGAGGCAGAGCAGTAAGTGCTCCATTCTGTATAAACACTACATTTTCTTTTCTTTTTTTTTTTTTTTTGATACCAGAGATCAAACTCGGGACCTTGCGCTTGTGAGGCAGGCGCTGGAACCACTGAGCTAAATCCCCGGCACCACATTTTCTTTATCCATTCATCTGTTGATGGACACATAAGCCAAGATTTAGCTACTGTGAATTTTGCTGCTATAAACATGGACATGCATGAATCACTGGGATATGATGACTTTAAATCATTGGGGAAGATACCTAGGAGAAGAATAGCTGGTTCTAATGGTTTGTAGTTTTGGTTTTTGAGAAATCTCTGTAGTGATTTCCGTAATAGTTGTACTAGTTTACTTTCCCACCAGCAATGAAAGAGGGTTCCTTTTTCCCCTGCAGCCTCTCCAGTATTTGTTATCTGATTTCTTGATTACAGACATTCTTTTTGGAGTAAGGTAGAATCTCAGTGTTGTTTTAATTTGCACTCCTTTAATGGCCAGAGATGTTGAACAGTTTTTCCTGTATTTGTTGGCCATTTCTATTTCTCCTTCTAAAAGTATCTGTTTATTTAAATTGCCCATTTTTGGATTGAGTCTTTTACTTTGGAGAGGGGTCTAATTTTACTGATTTCTCTATAAGTTCTAGATATCAGTCCTCTGTCTGAGGAATAGCTGGCAAAAAAAGTTTTTCCCATTCTGTAGCTTGTCTTTTACTCTTCTCCTTCTTTCCTTTGCTATGCAGAAGCTTTAATATTTCATATGATCCCATTTGTTCCTTCTTGGTGTTATTTCTTGTGCAACTGAGGTTCTGTCCAGAAAGTCCACGCCTACACCTATGTCTTCAAGAATTTTACCTATTTGATCTTCCAGCAGATAAGTGTTTCTGCTTTAATATTTAGCTGTTTCATCCATTTTGATTTTAGTTTAGTGCACAGTAAGAAATATGGGTCTAGATTCAATTTTATGCATATTTATAGCCCGTTTTCCTAGCACCATTTGTTAAAGAGACTATATTTCCTCCAGCTTAAGTTTTTGGCCCTTTGTCAGAGTTCGTTCTGCATTCTCTATTCCATTTCCTTGATCCACATGTCTGTTTTTCTGATGTTTTTAATCATTGTAGCTTTGAAGTCTAGAATTGTGATTCCTCTTGCCTTGCTCTGGTTGCCCAGGATTGCTTTTTCTATTTAGGTCTCTTCTGGTTCCATTTGTATTTTAGGATTGTTTTCTCTAGTTCTGTGAAGAATGCTGTTGGCATTTTGATTGGGATTGTTAAATCTGTGTATCAGTTTTAGAAGTATGGCCATTTTGATTATATTTGTTCTGTCTATCCAGAAGTAGAGGATATCATTCCATTCAATCTCCTTTTACAGAGTATTGCAGTTTTCAGTATAGAGGCCTTTCACTTCCTTAGTTAGGTGAATGCTTGTGTATTTCATTTTTCTTGATGTTATTGTGAAAAGTATTATTTCCCTAATTTCTCTCTTGGTGAGTTTATTATTAGTGTATAGAAATACCATTAGTGTGTGTGTACACTATATCTACTACTACAATACTGAACTTGGTAATTAATTCTAGGCATCTTTTGGACTTTTGGTCTTCTGTGTAGATCATGTCATCTGCAAATAATGATAATTCAGCTTTTCCCTTTCCAACACATATTCCTTTTTTCCCCCTGATTGTTCTGGCTAATGCTTCAAGAATTATACAGAACAGTAGTGGTGATAGTGAACCTCCTTGTTTTGTTTCTGATTTTAGAGGAAAAGCTTTCAGCTTTGCCCCATTTAATATGATGTTAGCTGTTGATTTGTCATAAATAGCTTTTTATCAGATTGAGATAAGGATCTTGTATAGCTATATTCTTCAGGGCTTCTTTTTTTAAAAAATCATGAATGAATATTGGATTTTGTCAGAGGATTTTTCTGCATCAATTGAGATGAGTATGTAATTTTTGTCACTCCTTGTGTTTATGTGTTGCATTACATGTATTGATTTATATAGTTCAACCATCCCTGCATCTCTGGAATGAATCCTTGGTCTGGATGGATATTCTTTTTGACAATTTGTTGCATTCTGTTTGCCAATATGTTTTCTTTTTTTGGTACTGGGGATCGAACTTGGGACCTTGCACTTTTGAGGCAGGTGGTGGCACCACTGAACTAAATCCACAGCCCCTTGCCAGTATGTTTTAAAGGATTTTTTGTGTCAGTGTTCATTAAAGAGACTGACCTGTAGCTCTCTTTTTTGGTAGGGTCTTTTTCTGATATTGGAGTTAAGATAATGTTTGCTGCCAGGAATGACTTTGAGAGTACACCTTCCCTTTTGATTTCATTGAAGTGTTTGAGGAGTATTGGCATCAGTTCTTCCTTAAAGTTCTTGTAGAATTCAGGAGTAAACACATTAGGATCTAGGCTTTTCTTAGTTGGTAGTTTAAAAAAAATTACATCTTCAATCTCATTGCCTGATACTAGATTATTAAAGGTTTTTATGTCTTTTTAGTTCTGCTTTGGTATTCATATGTGTCTAGGAATCTATCCATTCTTCTGCATTCTCTTATTAGAAGACAGATTCTCAAAGGAGTTATTAATAATAATCTCCTGGATTTCAGCAGAATCTGTTGTGATTTCATTATTTTCTTTCTAATTGCCTTGATTTGGCTATTTTCTTCCCTTTTTTAAAAGACTGGCTAGGGGTTTATCTATTTTGTTTATTTCACAGAACTGGCTCTTCAATTCATTGCTTTTTATTTTTAGTCTTGATTTCATTAATTTCTGCTCTGATCTTCAGGTTGGATTGTTCTTATTTTTCTAGGACCTTGGGGTGCATCATTAGGTTATGTGTTTGGGCTTGCTCTATTTTAGTGTGTGGTTATTCACAGCTATAAACTTCCCTCTAGGACTGCTTTGGTTGTGTACCATAAGTTCTGGTATGTTATACTGCCATTATTGTTTGATTTTAGGAACTAATTTCTCTCTTGATTTTTTTCTGTGACTACTGACTATTCAAGAGGGTATTGTTTAATTTTCACGTGTTTGTATAATTTCTGTGGTTTCTTTTGCCATTGATTTCTAGTTTCACTGAACTATAATTTGATAATATGTATGGGATAATTTTGATTCTTTTGCATTTACTTAAGCATGATTTATGAACTAGCATATTTTGGAGAAAGTGTCATGCCCTGATGAGAAGAATGTGTATCTGTTGTTACTGGGTGGAACACTCTAGGCATCAAGTAAGTCCATTTGTTGGAAGGTTGGAAGTCCATTTGTTTCATATATGATATTTCTTTGTTGATATTTTGTCTATTTGATCTATATATTTGTGACAGTGGGGTGTTGAGGTTCCCCATTATAATTGTGTTGGTGTTTTATCTGATTTTTTTTTTTTTTGGTACCAGGATTGAATTCAGGACCTTGCGCTTGTGAGGCAGGTGGTGGCGCCACTGAGGTAAATCCCCAGCCCATATCTGATTTTTCAATGTGCAGTAATGTTTGTTTTATGAAGTTGGTTGCACTTGGTGCATCTGTGTTTTTTATTGTTATTTCTTCATGTTGCATTGTTCCCTTAACCAATATGTAGTGACCTTCTTTGCCTCTTTTGATCAGTTTTGGCTTGAAATACACTTTGTCTGAAAATCAAAGTGTATTCAGATACATTTTGAATTTGATACACTTTGAATTCAGATACACTTAGAAGTTCAGATAGCTACTCCTGATTTTTTTTCTAGGTTCTTGTGCATGGAATATTGTTTTCCATCATTTGCTTTTTAATCTATGTATTTCTTGTTGGATTAAATGTGTTTCTTGTATATTGCATATTATTGCCTTTTGTTTCTTCATCTGTTTTGCCAATCTGTGCCTTTTGATTGGGGAATTGAGATCATTCACACTGGGAGTTATTACTGAATGGTATTGACTTATTCCTGTAATTATATTATCTTCCTGTTGCTGATTCCCTTTTTTCTCCTTCTCCTTAACTGATCACTCTGCCTAGTATATTCATTCTATTAGCGTTTTTGGCATTGTTGGCTTCTTTCTCTCTGGGATATCCTTGAGAATTTTTGTAGTGTTGGTTTGGTGGTCATGAATTTCTTAAGATGCCCTTTGTCATGGAACTACCTTGTTTCTCCATAAATTTGGAAGGAAAGTTTTGCAGGAGTTTAAATCTGGATTGGAAGCTGTTATCTTTTAGGGCTTCCAAGATTTTACTTCGAACTCTCCTGGCCTTTAAGGTTGTGCTGAGAAGTCTGCTGTAATTTTAATTGCCTTTATAAGTGATTCATTGCTTTTCTCTAGCAGTTTTAAGATTCTGTCTCAGTGTTGAACTTTTTGTATTTTGACTATGATGTGACTTAGGGAGGTTCTCTTTTGATTGTGGCTATTTTGATTGTGGCTTTTAATCATTCTATATGCCTCATCAGTATGTTTAATTCTTTCCCAACATTTAGAAAGTTTTCTGCTATTATTTCTGTAAAGTTTTTTTAATATACCATTTGTGCTGTCTTTTGATTTTTTACTCATTCTGATTAATCTTAGTCTTCTTAGCATCCTCCAGCAGCTGTTGAATCCCCTTTTTATCTTCTCCTGTTGTTTTTAATGCATCTCTGAGTAATCGGTCTTTGAAAACATCCCTGTCTACTAATTCTGATATTCTGTCCTCACATTAGTCACTTCTGTTGCCCATACTTTTCAATATAATTTTTAATCTGGATTTCTGTTTGTAACTTTTTATGGACTCCAGTTCTTTGCTAAGCTGGTCTTTCATGTTTTGTATAATTTTGTTTAGCTCAGCTAGCTTTTTATTAGTGTCTTCTGTAAGCTCTCTGATTGTTTTATTTCTCACCATCATTATCTGATTAGTTATATTTTCTGTGAGACTGCTGAGCACCTCGTTGATCTAATTTTTAGTCTCTGGTTATTCTTTTAAATAATTCAGCTGTGTGGCTTTTGCTTTCCTCCCCCTCAGTGCCCCATAGATTGGCTTTGGGGAGTTGGGAGTTTTGGAATGCATTTGGCTGCTTTGCCTTCTCCTATTTCTATTGTTTTTGTTTGTTTGTTTTGTGCTTAGCTATGCAGTCACTTATGGTGGAAAGACTGTTGCTAGTATGGAGATCTCTTTACTTAGTCTGCTTTTCACAGTTTTGGAGGCTCCAGTCCCTGATTGATTGGTCTTGTTGCTTTTAGGTCTGTAGTAAGAAAGCACATCATGTTGAGGGTACACAGTGGAGCACAACTGCCCACTTCATGGTTGTGAAGCAAAGAGAGGCCCAGGATCCCCCTTCAAGCCTCCTGCTAGACTTCATCTCTTAAGGGATCCATGACCTCCCAGTAGCACCAAGCTTGGCACTAAGGCTTTGCCACATGGGCCTTTTGGGGCATTTCACATCCAATCTGTAGCAATTGTGCCTGGGATGTTGTGGCAGTTCAGCTCTGTATCCTCTCATTTGTTGCCCACAGCTATCCTGAGAGCTGAGAACTTCTCTGCCTTTGTGATGGAGAAACTGAGCATATGAGGGGCCCCATGGGACTAGGTGGGAAGGCCGGAGAGAACCTAGCTTTTGCCACTATACTGATTCCACGCTTCAAAGTGGTTCACAGACCGTACTAGAGAATGTAGTGCTATCACTGCCACGGGGTATTTTTCACCAACATTTATGAAGTACATGAATTGTCCATTTGTATATTAAAAGAACTCCATTATCAATGAAGTCAACGAATCCCTTACTTATTCCAGGCTAACTCTTACTTTTTGTCTTCCTATGCTATCTTCTGATAGATGAGAATTTTTATGTTCTTATTCAAGACACAGAATTTCTTCTTCATTATTGATTTTGCTTATAAAGGGAAAGCAGCAGTCATTCGTGAATTTGCTTTATAACACCCAGAATATTTCAGGATATTATGTTATATAGGTTTTAAATAATACGAACTTAGAGATAACAAATTTGACACAGACATACAATACTTGAAGAGGATACACATGTACCAAAAACAAAATGATGGAATATTATGTATCTTACACACACACACACACATATATGCACAAACACACACATGTACATGTGAAGAATTCTTGGGGGTTCCATTGGGCTTCAACTTATCACTCAGTCACAGGGTAATTGAGAAACACTTCGGGGAATTTTTCTAACTCAACAGCTAATAACACAGAGGTCAATTTTAGTCACATAAGAAGTTATACTTTAGTAAAAGAGGTTAGAAGGAAAAAAATCAATCTGAAACTTGGAAAAATATCCCTCTTATCTTTATGGGGAAGTTAGAAAATAGAAACTGCAAAAAAGATGAGATTAGTGCAGCCATGAATACTGATTTCCTACAGAACTTCCAAATGCTTTGAAAAAAATGTTGTAGCAGAGAAACAAGAAGAAGAGTAGAGATAAATTGTTTCCCTGGCTCTCTCCCTCTCTCGCTCTGAGTCATTATTCGACCTTGTGCAAGCTACTTAACACATTCTGGGATTACAATTCCACATGGGAGGCAATAATGCTTATCTTACTTAGAGATTCCAATAGTTACTCAATATTATGTCTTAGCATTTATCTCCTTGTAAAAACTTTCTCACAAGGGTATATGAATTCCTATAAGTATGCAAAATAAACATGACAAAGACGTTGGGAATAAAGAGGCACTCAGCAAGACAGAGTAATCTCAAGGGAGCCTAAAATTTGACATGGAAGAAAAATATAGTTTTGTTACCTATTTAGAAATAATCTATCCAGGAGACAACAGTACTAGGACATTATTTTACCCTTTGCCCTTAAGAAAACCTTTCCAAAGGCTCTTTAGGTGTGAGTGTGTCATACTCAAAAAGCGTGAGAGACACACCACAGGAAGGAAATGGGATTGTCCCCCTTTCCGTCTGACGTGGCCTTGCTCAGACATTTCCCAGGAAACTGCCCGGGAAAAGCGTAAATGACCAAGCATGGGGCTGGGGGCGCCTCTAGACTTGGGATTGAGACTCAGGCTGACCCCACATCAAACACAGGCCCTCCAGAGTCCCTATCCTCTCCAAGTCTCGGCACCCTCACCTTAGCGTGGGACAGCGCACCCTCTAGGAGGTCAGCCGGGGCATAGGCGATGGCACAGTGAAGAGGCTTTGTAAATCTTAGGGAGCAAAACACAAGTCTACCCTAAGCACACTGCTTGCCGGCTCTCTTAGAGAAGTAACAGAGTGAAATAGACTTGCAATACCAGGCAGAAGGTGATGAATATTCTCGAGTGGGGAGAGGCTGTCACTGTTTGGCAGTGGGGAAGGAAGGGTGGTGAGAGGAGGATGGATTTGAGCCTTTCCACCTACAGGCAGCAGGAAGAGGCTGTTCCCTGTGGAGGTGGCTCACAGCAGATCGTGCCTCCCAGGTGTTCACTCCGGGAGGGATGGGCATGGGAAGGTAGTATGGGCCCTGCCCTGAGTGTGGTCGGAAAGAAAACAGCTGGATCCTCACCCTGTATCCGCATCGAGTCTCTTGCCATGTTCTGTCTTGGAGCCACTGGGCAACAAATGGAATCCTCAAAAGAGAAGGAAAGTGGGAAACAAATTTTGGTTAGATCATAGTTTTAACTTCCCAGACCTCTTGAATAGGTCTAGGAAAACCCCAAGGTTCCCAGGAACACATTTTGCTCTTCTGGATTATACATCAGACACGTATTGATCAAAATGCAGAATCTAAAGGAATCTGGATTAATAAAACAACCTTGGTGCTGTAGGCAGGTGGGGATGTTCGTCCTACCACAGGCTGGGGCTGCAGTGCACACTGGTGTTGTCCCAGCGGCCCAGTTAGCAGGTGGACTCTTGGGGGTCCCCCATTCTGCTCTGGCTTTCAGGCCCTTTCAAGGCCCTGGGCAGCCCCTTCAATGGGAGGGGGGTGTGGGCTTTGGATAGTAAGTCACTGCTTCTCAGTAATCCCAGTGTCTTAGTTACTTCCCTCATTGCTGGAACAAAGTACCCAACACCCACAGTTTAAGTAAGAAGAGGCTTATTTTGGCTTATGTTTCAGTCTGTAGTCAGCTGGCTCCCAAGCAGGCCGGCATGGTGAGGGAGATGCGGAGGAGAGCTGCTCACTGTCTGGCACACAAGAAGCAAAGAGAGAAGGGAGGCGCCAGGGAGGGAGATGAACTCTTTCATTCTCTGATCTGACCCTGCCTTCCATGAGCAAGCCAGCTGTAAACGCCCATGATCCAGTCACCTCCCTAAAGCTCCATCTATAACTGCATGAGGCTTTGGGGGAACAGCTAGATATAAATCATAACACCCACTAATCTGTAGAATTGACCACTCATAAAGCCCCTCCAGGCTTCCAGAGAAAACTAGATAGGGTTGTTTTTAACTCAATCTGTAGCCCATTTGGAAGACCATGGGGCTGTCCTCAGTCCCTTGTGTCAAGGTAGTGCGTGACTGAGAGGGACTCATCACTGAAGAGGTTCCTGTGATTGCCTGGCTGATAGAAAGGGTCCCAAAATATGGTTATTTAATAAGATTTGAATTACTTTATTGGTGAATCCAGCTCTTTACCAGTAATCAGTGTGAACATGAGCTCAATTCTTTGTGTTTGGTATGTTATGGTGTCATCCAAGACTTCATGTGTCAAGATTTAATCCCCTTTGGGAGGTAGTACAGCATTTAGAGGAGGGGTTTTGGGATTGGATTAAGTTCATGAGGGAGGAGCTCCCAGGCTTGAACCCTGATAGCTTCATGGGAAGAGGAAGAAAGACACGCACATGTCCTCTCTGTCTCTTGCCATGTGACACCATGTCCTGCCTTGGGACCCCCAGCAACAAGGTCATCAGACCAGGTCTCTAGACCTTGTACCTCCAGAACTGTGAGCCAAATAAATCTTGATTGTTGTAAAGTAGCTTGCTTCAGGTACTTCATTGTGGTAATGAAAACTAAACTGCCACCGTGCCCTTAACGTTTGGGTTCTGGAGGGTACCTGTGGGTTCTTCCCATCTCAGCTTTATTCTCCTCCTGTTCTGCGGGTTACAGACGACAGGTCCTATTCCCAGTGAATTTAAGCCTATTTGTCCTGGTAAAATTACCTGAGCTTCTTTTAAAACCATGTTTCTTCTCAGCAAGTGGTTTCTCATCATGGATTAATTATTCCATTCAGGCCGAAGGCTGAGAAGGTTGTAAATAATGACTTCTGTTAGATCTTAGTCCTAAGTGTGTTTGCAGAGAGTCTAGTTCTGATTTAATTTTAGAAAAGGTCCAAGCTTGGGAAATACAACTGCTTGAATCCATATAAAAACAAATCTCAAACCTATCCTTTAGGGCTGGAGGGACCCTCTGGGGCACCATTTGGGAGCTTTTCACTGACACAAAGTAATAAAATACCTCTTGTCAATGGGGAAAAAAGAAAACATACAATTTTAGTGGTTCATTAGAGATTTGCAACATGACTATTTTCTTTTCCTGAACCAAGAACCCTGGGACCTTTTGGTAGAGAAAAGGTAACTTAAGCTTTCTACACCAGGAAGTCAGAAAGCTTGGCTGGACTCAGCAAAAATGCCAGAGGAGGACTCGCTGGGCCAACACGGCTTGGATTTGACTAACTTATGTCTCCTCTGTCACTTATGCGTATTGTCATTTTCCCTTTTTTTGAGCCTCTTTTCTAAAGGGAAACTGACTTTGTATTGGAGTATTCACACAGTGCTGGAAGAGCTATCGAACTGAGGAGAGGAGAGAAGACCCCTGTAGTCTCAGGAAGGAGGAAAGCCAGGGAGGCTCTGGGGTTATCAACAAGCGACCTTCTCTGTGTTGACACCAGCAGCAGGTGACTCATCATGATGGCTCATTTTGAGTCAACACAGCTGGGCCTTGGGACCCAGCTCTGCAGCCAAGCATTATTCTAAGTGTTTCTGCAAGGTGTTTCTGTAGATGAGATGAACATTCAAACTGTTGAACTTTGCGCAAAGGACATTATCTCCATAATGCGCTGGGCCGCCTCCAATCACTTGCAGGCTTCAGAGAAGAAATACCAACTGCAGCCTCTATAGTTCCACGAAACCAACTCCTTCCAGTAAATCTTTTCTCCTGTGCCTCTGAGGAACACACACACACACACACACACACACACTCTCCTGCTGGCCCTGTCCCTCTGAGGAACTGTCATTAATGCACTCCGCCACAACGTGCCCTTCTCCTGCATGACCAATCTGATTCAGAGAGCACGTGACAGCCTGAGGCCTCAGCCTACTGGAGCTCAGGTGTTGAGTTGTGGGTGACCTTCCCCGTGCTGATGCACAGGACAGTGGATATTTACAACCCAGGGAGGCATACCGAGTTTTATGTATGCCCTGTTGCCTCTCAAAGTCCCTGACCCTCCCCTCTGGGTTTTTCTGGAATTCAGTGTCAAGAGGTAAGGATTCTCCTGGTCTCCAATCCCATCCCCACCCCTAACCTCATACCTTGTGTAACTTCAAGTTGTAAAGTGAGTCGGAGAGAACTGCACCAAGCCCCGAGTCTCCCCCTTTTAGGGAAGTGTGGTGCTTCCTGAATGGTAGCTGTTATTAATGAATTAAGCTGCAAAACGACCTCATTGGCCTTACTTAATTAATTTAGCTCCCCACTAGGTTATAGATCGCTTGTAAATTCTCTTGCTAGTCAGAAGAGTGTCAGCCCTCAGAGTCTAGTTTTTCTCTTTGCTAACTGGAGAACGGCACATAATTAAAAAGTAGTGCCTCTAGTGGATTTAAAAAATTGCATAAGAACGTTTGACATAAGATCTCTTGTCTTAGGCACTTCCCAGTCACTGGGACAAAATACTGAACATTCACGACTTAAAAGGAGGAGAGGTTTATTTTGGATCATGTTTTCAGTCCACGGTCAGCGGGCTCCAAGGCAGAAACTCGTGGAGGAAGGGCCTGGTGGAGGACACTCCTCCTCCCATGGCAGCCGAGAAGCGGAGAGAGAGGGAAGAGCCCAGAGGGAGAGGAACCCCGGGGGATCACACCCAGCACTGGCTTCCAGCCAGGCCCCGCCTCCTCATGCCACGCTGGCCGGGGGGGGGGGGGATGGACGCGCCGACCGGTGGAGTACCTCCTGATCCAATCACCTCCCTCGATCCCTGCTTCTGAGCACGGGAGGCTTTTGGATAACGTTCCATTTTAAAAGGTTTTATTAGTACATGTTTGAGTACACAGCGATTACATTCATCACAGGGAGTGGGTTCGTGTGTACAACGAACGCATCTTCAAACTTCACACTGGGGGACGTTCTAAACCATAACCCCTCTTGACGAAGTTCAGAGTTTACAATTCGGCATTGTTAACTACAGGCCCAGGGTTGTGCAGTGCATCTCGGCCACTTCTTCGTCTGTCTTGTGTAATTGACCTTTGTACCAGTGGGATGGTGAGTCTCCACCCTATCCTCCTCCACCTCTGGGCACTCAGCATTTTAGCCCCTGTTTCTATGAGTTGGATGATTATTCTCACAGAAGTGGAATCATGAAGTATTTGTTCTTCTCTGACTTATTTCACTTGGAACAATGTCCTCATGGCTGATTCAAATTATGATTCTTGACAGGATTTGTTCCTTTTCTAGGGCTGAGTAGTATTCCATGTGTACACATACCATGTTTTCTTTATCCGTCTGTTACCAGAGGACTGGGTCTTGTCTCATGGTGACAAAGAATGAAACTGCAGATGGAGGAGATAGGGTGAAAGCAAATTTATTTAAAACATATAAAGGCAAGAAAATAAAAGTTATAAAGGATGGAAGTAAAACTTTCTCTAGCCAGGAGAGGGTTCGGAGTAGGACACCCATGAGGGCTCTTTGTGTGTGGCTCAGAAGAAGCTTAGGCCGCTGTGTAAGCAATATGACCTCTACCCTGGAGGTGTCTTAGGGTCCAGTCTGTGCAGTGTCACACAGTGTCCATGCAGGGCCCATGCATCTTTGAGCCGATGGCCACTGACCGTGCTCTGAGGGGTCCCTGACAGCTGAAGCACACCTGCCAGATGTGTTTGTGAGACACCCAAAGGGCCCTGGTTGGGAGACTCCGTTCTGGGGCCGTTGACCCTACTGCCTATTCGAATCCCACCTCCCTTCTCACTAACTCCTGTTACACTTTTCCCTGTCCATGGCCATTGGGTGGCTTCATGTACAGGATTAATTACCCAACAGAAAGTCTTGCTCCCCCCTTTCCCCTGCCTCCCGCCACTGGCCAGGACTACCCTGCTGATCCCCCTGATAGCGAGTCTGACCACCCATAAAACCCGGACTTCACCGAAGTGTCTCACCATCAAGAGCATTGGATTCTGTTTCCATCTTCTCCAGCTTCATTTCAGAGCCTGGAGCGCCACGTGGTCCTGGAGCTATTGCCGCTTCCGTGGCTGAGAGCCTGGAAAGAGCCCTCTCCTTAACGTCTCCCCAAGTGTGGTGATGCCATTTGTTCACCCTGAGCTCCCTGCTGGCGGACTGTTCTCATTTCTACAACCCTAGGGCTGGAATGGTGGGGTCAGGGAGGTGCAGTACCAGTCTCCTGGGCTACAACTAGTAATTTCAAGGCTAGAAGGAATTTATTGATTTTGTAGGCTTTCATTCAACAAATATTTCTGAGCACCTACTTTATACCAAGGACTTTTCTGGAAAGCGAAGATAAGATCTGAGCCTGTCTAGTCCATTGGAGGATGAACATGCCTGGTGACAAGTGACAGAGGTAGGCTTTGATATTCTCCAAACAAACTACAGTGCTGAACAGTGCCCCAGTTCCTAAAGCTTTGCAATGTTCATATGCTGGGTTGTTTCTGGACAGATTCTACTTATGCTTCCTTTTCTTTTTCTTGTGTTACTGAGGATTGAACCCAAGGCTTGGCACTTAGCTACATCTGCAGCCATCTTTAATTTTTTTTGTTTTGAGGCAGTGTCTCACTAAGTTGCTATATTACCCAGGCTGGGCTCGAAATTGTGGTCCTCTGACCCGAGCTTCCCAGAATGCTAGGATTACAGACCTGTGCCACTGCACCCAGCTCTGCCAGTGGTTCCTTGGGGTACATTTTCTCAGCTCTGCCAGTGGTTCCTTGGGGTACATTTTCAAAGACAAAAGTTCAATGTTATGGCATTTCTGTTTCTGGTTATAGAAAGCCAAGATCCTTCAGGAAGACTCGGGTGTGGGGCAGGTGTGGACTGGCTGGCGTATACTTTATCACTTCTAAGTGATCACACAGGAAGAAGGGCAGGGCTTTGAGGGGTCAGTGAACTGTGGCTCAGGTCCAAATCCAGCCTGCTGTCTGGGCATGTGCACAGTTTCCTGGAGCACATCCCCCTTACCCGGGCATGTGTTGTCCATAGCAGCTTCCGCCCTGTAGCAGCATAGCTGCGTAGTCCCACAGCGGTGGTGGTGGTGGTGAGGGGGCTGCTGCAAAGCCACAGCATGTGTCGGGCATTTTACAGGATGTTTGCAGACCTCTTCTCCAGAGCAGTGGTTCTAAGTGTGGTCCAGGCCCAGCAGCGTTAGCATCACTAATAGCTTATAAAGAAATTCAAGTTCTTCCCTCACCCCAGATCCGCTAAACCAGAAACTGGTGGGGGCCTTCCTGGTGATTCGGATGCTGGCTGAAGTTTGAGGATCACTGAACGCCTCATGATCCACAGTTTCTGGGGAACTTAGCCCACCATGAACTGGGGAGCCTGCCGCAGTTTAGAATTCCTAATACCTCCTTGTTTACGCACATGACTGGTTAGAAAGTGAATGTTGTGTGCTGTGAAGTATTGACAGAGGCACGTCAGGAGATGCTGTGTATGAAATGGTGTTAATGATCAAGAACTGTGCTTACCGCAGACTAATCATTGACTGTTTTTACAACACTTATGAAGGCTAATATTTAGTTCATTGATTTATGAACATCACATCAGTGTCCCTTTTTAAAGTTAAATCTCTCTAAATTTTTTATCACAGTTGAGAAGACATTGACTGATGGCGTGTATGAGTGCACTGTGGTTGCAAGCAGCACCCATGTTGTGCCAGGTATGAGTATGATTTACAGACACGCATGAAGGCATGGAAGGGTCTGAATGCCACAGGGTCCCTTGCCACTGGGGTGGGCTGTGAGGCAGCAGTGAGGCTAGTGCCCACTGCTCACTGTTGCCTTCTGTTTGGTTCACTCTGCTGCATAGCAAAGCATCACAGACTGGTCATTCATGAAGAACAGACATTTATTTCTTACAGTTCCAGAGGCTGGGGACACCAAAGTCAGGGGGTTCATGGAGTGAGGGAGCTTCTTGCTGCCTTATAAGCGTGGTAGAAGGCACCATGAAAAGAGAGTGAGGGATAGAGAAAGAGTGAACATAGACAGGGAGGACAGAGACAGAATGAGAGAGATCAAGTAAGGACTGAATTTGCTTTGATGATAAAACTGCTCTCTTGATAATGAATGTACTCCTTCATGGTATTAGTCACTTTCCTGTCACTGGGGCAGAAACACTCAACATCCACAACTCAAGGAAGCACAAGTTTACTTCGGCTCAAGGTCTTTGAGGATTCAGTCCATTGTACATTGGCTCCCCACCGAAGGGCATGCTGGAAGAAAGGTGGGCATCATCTGGCAGCCAGGAAGCAGAGAGAGAAGAGAGGAGCACGAACGAGGACGCACCCTTCCAAGCCAGACTCCCGGTGACCACCTCAAACCAGGCCCCTCCTCATAGCATGTTCAGCCATGAGTTCACCTGGGGATGAATCCACTGGTGAGGACAGCACCCCATGATCTGGTCACCTCCCATGCCTGAGATGCCAAGGGGGCATTTTAGAGCCAAACCACAAGACTCATTAACTCAGTCTCTCATGGCCTAATTTCACTCCCATCCTGGTGCTGGAAATTGAACCCAGGGCCTCACACATGCTAGGCCAGTGCTTTCCCAGTGCGTTATGTTCTCAGCCCCTTATCACGTCTCAAAGGTCTCATCTCTTGGCACTGTTACGTTGGGGATGAAGTTTCCAACACACAAACCAAAAGGGCCACATTCAAAGCACGACAGCATTTTCAGAAGAGAAGAAATCAGGTGTGCAGGCGCACACTGAGCTGAGTTTCAAGGTTGGGGCATCTGAGATGCAAAATGATGAAATGGAAGAGTGAGTCTTAGGAGCCTTCAGACTGTTGTTTGAAATAATATACTTTTCTGATTATGTGGATGGATTGTGAGTGAGAAGATTCCATCAGGCTTTTTTTGACTTATGACTCGACGGGCTCTTGTTTCTAGACATTCAGACTTATAAAATCTAGGTCAGACCTCTTCCTTTGCCTTCACTTTAGGTTTAGGAATTATTGTTGTAAGACTTTTCTTTCATTCGTACTAACTGTATCCCCTAAACAGAATTCTCATGGACACCATCTAGTAATTTTTAAATTTTTGTCATATTGTCAACTAAAAGATATAAATGATCCTACCGCTCTAGTTGATTAGATAGAAACTCATCACTAGAAGAACAAAGGAAAGATTTCAGGTCTTACTACCATCACCTCATCGGCTCAACAGTTTCACACAACTTTTTAAATGATGACAGACAAAGGAGAGTTAGCATCAGTTCTTGGATGGCAATTGCAGATAGATCTTGTTAATATAATCTGCATATGTTTATGATAAAGTATTTTACAGACATGGCACCTTAATGCTTTTTCAGAAATAGTAACATATTAGCTCCACTGTATGTTTATTTTTATTCAGGTTATTCTCTTTCATGGGGCTGATAAACTATACCCTGTGAGCCAAATCCAAGCTGGTGTCTGTTCACGTCAGTAAAGTTTTATTGGCACACAGCCATGCCCATTTGATTATACATTTTGTGTGGCTACTTCTGTGTTAAAATAATAGGGTTGAATAACCGACAGAGGCCATGTGTTCTCAAAATAAAGTATCTTTACTGTGTTGGGCCTTTGTAGACAAAGTATAGCAACCTCTGCTCTTTTGCGTCTTTTCATGACCCCAATTAAGGCAGCGTCTCAGGATTCGACACAGATTTATTTGTAGACACTAAACCAGGTCAAAGATTCCTTCTTTCACACTGTAGCCCTGCCACAGGTATCAGTAAAGCTGCAGAAGTGAAGCAGTAAGCACTCCACCTCTGTAAAGACCCAACTGTGAAATAAGCTCATATTCTGAGACATGGTCACCACTTTCGAGGAAGTGGGGGGGCCTTAGCAGGTAAGCACTTTCCCCATAACAGGTGTTGGGACCAACAAGGCTATTCTGACCGTGAACCTTGAGCTGTGGTCAATTTCCTGCACAGTGAAGCAGGCCAACTCAAAACCAAGGATTTGAAAAGATAAGCATTTCTCTATTATAGAGCCACCTAAAGGGAGTCTACATAAGTAAACGGAAGACTGTAAACTTGAGGAGGGGAAAGTGCTTCCTGCTTCTAGACACACTGGAGCTTGGAAAGTCATTGAGGAGAAAGACAAAACAAACACGTGCCAACTGGCGGGCAGGCAGGTGCACGTGTCTGTCATGAGAAGCCACACAAGGAAGCGTTCTGGTGTTGACACACATGGGGAGTTGGAAGCCCAGGCAAGGACGCAGTTAACTGCAGGGCCTCACTCCTCCTGGGACCCCAGGCTTTACTTGTCTCATTCAATGATTTGGCCTGGATGCCATGTGTGATGCATCTAGGAAATAGATTCCAGGTCTTTGTGCACAGCGAATGAAGAATTGCAAGTGCAAACCCAACGGTAAAAGGAAAAGCAGCTGCGTTATTGAAATTAACAGGAAGGTGCACTCAGGACAGGTCCGTGCCAAGAGAAACAAAAAGCTGTCTCAAACAGAAAAAGGCTGGGACGGTGGGCGTGGGGCGGGGAGTGGGAGGGGCGAAGAATGAAGATCTCATTGGATCTCTCTGGTATGATCGACAGGGAGCTGAGTCATCTCAGGAGCACCTTAGTATGCAAGTCTTCCCCAGAATACACTGTTTTAATCACGTGCATGACAGGCAATCCTATGGATGGATCCTTAACGAACTGAGTGGAGAAAAGTTAAGTTACTGAAGGTCAGACTATGGGATCTAATGTGCATGCACTCTGGCCTGGAGTGATTTCCTGGGTCTTTGCTATTGTGTTTTTGGCTTCTCTTAGAACAATGGAAGGAGGAACAGCCCTGGGTGTTGCCCATATTCAGGTAGGTGGAGGGGGAGTGGTCGCCTAGCTCCACAGTGCTACCAGTACTAGAGCCAGCTGACTACAGATTGAAAGCTCTGAAACCCTGAGCCAAAATAAACCTTTCCTCCTTTAAGTTGTTTTTCTCAGGTATTTGGTTGCAGCAATGAAAAGCTGACCAACAGAGTGTGTATATGCCATGTTATTTCTATCCATTCATCTGTTGATGGATACCTAGGTTAATTCCATACCTTAGCAATTGTAAACGGTGCTACAATAAACATAGACTTGCAGGTATCTTTTTGGTGTTCTGATTTCATTGTCTTTGGCTATATGCCTGGTAGTAGGATTGCTCGATCAGGTGGTAGTTCAATATTTAATTATTTAGTTTTTTGGAAGAAGTGCCACACTATTCTCCATAATGATTGTACTAATTTACATTCCTCCCAGGATTTTACACAATCTTTTTTTTTTTTTTTTCAAGGAGGAGAGGTTGATCTTGGATTACCTGACTAGCTGAGCATCAAGTAAACTGCCTGTCTTCTGGGTAGGGGTACAGTGAGGGTGCTGTTCTCTGGCCTCCGATTTACCTGGAAATCCTACTCAAGGTTAAATGCAGGTTAAATCATTCCTTAAGGGAAACCTGACCCTCTCAGCCTGCTCCTGAGTGGCCAGGGAATTAGGGAATCACATTCAACAGCTGTGGGCACCAGTGACACCCCAAAGCTGCTCACCATGTGGCTGCAAGTGTAGCTAAATGGCCAGGCTTCCCCGCTGCAGCACCATTTCCTTGGAGTTCTGCTCTGTGAAGTGGCTGCCTCCTCATCGACTGTCCCTATGTCATCTTCACATAAACTGAGGCTCTCACCTCATCACCTTCCACCTTTCTTTAGCCTTAATTCTTCACCACTTTATGCAGAGATTTCCAGCTCTGCAGAGCTCATTTCCTGTGCACCTTTGTCTGTCCTCTGGACCATACCTCTGGAAACCTCTGGGTTTCCCCCATCTACTTGGAGGCAGAGGCACCGTAACCCCAGAGCCCATCATTCCTGCTGCATTGGACCCTCAGCTAAGCAGAAATCACAGACTGGAAGTGGGAAGGAGGAAGCAGGAAGTGATGTGGCTATTTATGCTGCTCCAGAGCCCTTCCTCTGAGGCCTGGAGGCCAGGTGAGGGCCCAGGGAACTTGGTCTTGAGATCAGGGCTGTATAGAATCCTGTCCCATGGTTTGCTGTAGTTGGGATCCAGAATATCCCTGAGAGATCCACCTGGCAAAGGCTTGGTCCCCAGTAAGGTCCTCCTGGAGGAGACAGAACTTTAAGAGGGAGGGCCCAGTGGAGGTTGTGCCCTTGCAGAGATAAGGGGTCCTCAGTCTTTCTTCTTTCTTTTTCTTTCATTTGTAGGCCATGAGGTCAATGGATTTGTTCTGCCACATGTTTCTGCCATGATGTAGCCTCACCACAGATCTAAAGGTAGAATCTCTAAACCTATGAGCACAAATCAACCTTTTCTCTTTATAAGTTGATTTATTACAGCTATTTGTTATAGTGACAGAAAGCTTTCTAACTAACACAGGATTAATTGTAGGGAATATTGGGGGAAAACTGTTGATTGGGATGTTCATTTCAGGGACTAGAGAAATAACATTATGGGAAAAAAAGATATTGGGGAGCTACTGTAGAAATCTTGTTAATGATGATTATTTGAATGGTGTAGACTAACATGCACATTTAAAAAAATGTCCACTTAATTCTGAGACAAGTTTTATTCAATGACAAAAGTTAAATATGGCCCAGAAGAGTCCCACCTTCCTTTGTGTTGCTCAGGTAGTTTGGCCTAAAACCAACTAGACCACATTAGCCTGTGGCAAGCGTAGAGTGGGCAGCCCACTGTGGACATCTTATAAAGTACACGGTTTGTGTGTCTTCCTGTACACAGTTGACATGTCATGAAAACACTGAGTGCAAACAAAATTGTCCCGAATCATAGAGTATTTCACACATCCTTGAAGACTTCTCTCTATTGCATGCATTTTGAGGGGTATGTGTGGGTGAAGCATGGTATTCTTATACATGTTATCAATAATGCGTATGTGGACATAGAGTATGACTTCAATACTGAAATTTTGTTGAGGAGTCATCAGGACAAAGTTGTCCAAAAAGGCTTATTGAAGAGGAAGGGGTGATGAAGAGAATGTTGAGAAACACACTTTGGGTGCTTTTGTACAACTCTCCTATACAGAAATCTAGAGGATCCCATCTTGAGCTTGCTTAGAGTAAGGCCGATCTGCATAAAGTCTGCCACTTCTAGAAGGCAACATTCATCTGTCTTAGCCATTGCATGGAGGCCCCTGGGAGAGTCTTTCATTCGAGAAATCCGTGCCACACTATTATAAAATAATAAAGCTGCTTACTGTTCACAGCTCACAAAGCAGTCTCATTATTACTTCATAGTCAGATCTCTTTAGTAATGATAATACAATAATCACAAGACCATATTTCATCAAATCAGGAGTCCACTGATTATAAGATGCACCACTGCAATTCGACACAACACTGGGAGTCAGACATGTATTGGAGGCACATTAAAACAGGAGAAAAATATGCATCTTAGGCTTGATGCAATGCAGAAACAGCTGAAAACTGCTGAGCCTTCTCCATGAACCAGGCAAGATCGGGTTTATCTCATCAAACATCTTCACCAGTGATGCTTGCTACAACGACGAGACCTGTTATCAGCTCCAGTGTACGATGAGGACAAGTGAGATTCAGCCAGGTTAAGTAACTCACAAAGGTCTCATGGCTCCAAAATGGCAGAGAAGGGAATGAGCAAGAGGCCCCCAGACCCCGCCACGCAGCACTCTGGTGAACAGTAAGTCACGTCCTCCAGTGCCCTTGCTCTGTCCCCCCGTTGTTGCCCCTTTTCCTGGAAAAGTAGATTTGCCTCAGTTCAATGAACAAGTTTCTGGAATGTACACAAAATGGAATGTGTGGGTCCTTTCAACTTTGGACAAGGGATTATTTGTTGGGGGAGTGTTATGGAAAGAATGTGCTGACCACATGGTATTGGCATGTGCTCCTGACATGGGACATGGCTTGGGTTCCATTCTGAGTCTTCCGCGTACAAGCTATGGGAACATGAGTGCGGGTCACCTTCCTGACTTGTTTTCCTCACCCAGGAGCCTGTCGGAGTTGGGTTGGGGTTATGTGCGATTTTATTTGCATGTTTTGGGAGCGAGACTGCGGATACCACACTTACTTAAGGTGGCCACACCCAGGGTCCTGGATTCCTTTGCTCTCAAAGCTGGAGCTGAATATTTATCTGCAGCTGGAAAGAAGTCTGTGCCTGGTAAATGTTTCACTAACAAACTCCCAAAGGCTGCTGTGGGTTAAACCCACGCTTCTAACAGGGTGGTGGCCTTCTGCCTCGGGTTCAGTGCAGGGCAGGAGCTTTGATTTCAATCCCTTCTTTGCCTTTGCTGTGATTGCTTTTGTGTAAAGCATCCTGGCCTTCCACAGTATATTTAGTTCATTCGGCTGGGCACTTTGTTAACGGTATAGAGATAACCAATTGTGTAGTTTATATTAGAATTGAGGATTTGGTCTCCCTCAAGAATATTATAAACTTAGCTTATTGTTGGAGGCTCCATTGCTTTTGGATAAATACAGAATGTTTTTCTCTTCCCCTATTCCAGTGGGCAGTTTTTCAAATGGACTGTAACTGGAGCTTTCTCTGTTTGCATTGCAAGTCATCTCAGGTTTACATCCAGAAAACCTAATTGAAATGTGAGCTGCAGACAATTGGGAGGAAGCAGAGGAATGAAAAGAGGTTGTTTCCTGAGGATTTTGCAGAACAATGGAGCCAGGCTGCTGCTTGCAGAAGGTCTTAGCTATTCTTAGGCAGGGGAAGGGGAGGTTGCTTCTGCCCACCAAGCTCGTCCACTCCTGAGATTCAGATGGTCACGAATCCCGTCTGCAAAGGTGCTCCTCCACAAGTAGGCAGAGTCCTCTCACACTGGTCTCATGTGGACTCATGTAGGGTGCCTTGCTAGTAGGGGCCCCTTTTTCCTAAACTCAGTGTTATAAAGCTGTTCAAGAGTATTCTAAACAAAACCAAAACAAAGCAAACAAAACTCTCCCAAGACCAGATGTCTCCCAGAGATTATACAGTAATATTTGTCATTTTGCCAATTTCCCGAAGGAAAAAAGTTCTATGTCTCTTAACTATACAGAATGCCAGAATACAGAGGGAATTTTTCCTATGATCCCTCCATTGTTTTAGTTTATTGGATAGCTATTGTCAGTGAAGCAGATACGTTTTGGTTGAGAGATGGGATGGTAGGTCATTTCTGTTTCTTGCTGGCATCTTGCATCCTCATGTTTTGCTTTGGAATACCATTCCTTCCATTCTTCATGGTACCTCAGTACCTGAGCTAGCCAGTACTGTTTATTTCCACAGAGCAGCTTGTTAGTGTCTCTTCCCGACTGCTGTCAGTGACCTCATGCTGGTAGGTTGAAATTGGCCAAGAGGGAGACTTTATATCACAGGAATTGGCAAAACCTACTAATCAGGGCTCCCTCATCCCTGCTCCCAGAGAGCCAATTGCTAAATATCACAGACCTTCAGTGCCTTATGGCTGTCAGTTCTCAGGGCCTCAGAGCTTCAAAGACAGGCAAAGTCACCATCCAGCAAACAGAACTGTGGCTTCAGGAACAGGTGAAGAAGATGACTCCAAAGCTGGACCATCCTACTCTTCCTGCTACCACTCACCTGGAAGTTGGAGCTGCATCTGTGTGTTTGTGTACAGGGAAGCCTGTGTCTTGTCTGTGTGTGCTCGTGTGCCTGCATGTGTGTGTGTGTTCATGCAGGTGCTGTGTGCCTGTGTGTCCTATGGGTACATCTGTATGCATGTGCACGAATGTGTGTGCCCCTCTGCACTGAAGTTCTTGTGTGTGCTCATGCATGTGCCTTGGGCATGTGTATGCCCAAATGTACACATGTATGTGTACACATGTGCTTGTGTGTTGATTTGTGGGCACATACAGGCACGAGTGTGCACATATACATGTGTGGTGTGTGTATGTGGGGGCACACACACACACATATGAACCCTGTAGCATGCAGGCGTGTGCCCAGCAGCTGCTTCCTCTTGCTGCATATGTTCACCCTGCTCCCCCTGCCTATCAGACCGGGGCTGGACATTCACCAGCCCCCTTGGCCAAACAGCTGCTCGGACCCTCACATGCGGGGGAGACTGAATGGGGCTCGCTAAGAACACGAGGATCAGGGGCAACTCCTCCTCCATCCTGTGCCCCCATCACTCCTTCCTTACCCTTGCAATTAACATTTAGGGGGCTTTAAAGAGGAAAGAGTGCCCTGACTGGGAGGCTGTGGGGCATGCGGAAGGAGGGAGGACAAAGGCTGCTCGTTTGCCGGCACTGGTGCAGGAGTCTGTGGACTGGCCGTGAGTGTCAGAGCCCCGGGCTTCTCTGGAACCTTCTGAGACCCTCCGCCATTTTATCTGTGACAACATAGACTGACCTCGAGGACTTGAGCTTGTGTACAGCTCTTGGTTTTTGTTAGGCTCTGCATCTGCAGCCTGTGCCTCGGGGGTGGAGGTCTGAGTCAACTCTCAGAGTTAGAGGCTGGAGCTGCCCCAGCCTCCTCTCTGGACTGCTCTGGCCCTGACACTTGCTTAGGGTTTGCCTTTACTGTCCACCGCCCTGCAGTCCTGACACATAACAGCCTCTCTACAAGGAGGCACCGAGGAAGGCCCTCATGTTCTTATTGTACTCTTAGGGAGACTGAAGTCTTAAGAGGCAAAGTAACTTGCTCAGAATCTCATAGCCAGCAAGTGTTAGGAGCAGAATTGGAAGACATATGTCCAAGCTCTCAGCTAAATCTGCATTCTGCTCCTCCAGGCCAAAAGCAGCTTTTCAGATGATTTGCTAGTTTCTGTCATCTCCACCGTGAATTTCTCTTCGTCATAGTTTGCATCGTCAATGCCCCCCAAGGACCTTGTGATGATGACTTGGTCCCCAGCCTGTGGCCCTGCAGGGAGTGGGAGAAACATTGGAAGCTGGAGCCCAGGGAAAGGAAGGTGGTCATGTGGGCGTGGCCTTGAACGGACTACTGGGACCTGGCTCCTCTCTCTGCTTCCTGGCTGCCATGACATGAGCAGCTCTGCCCCTGCACACTCCCTACCCGGATGTTCTGTGTTGCCACAGGCCCAAAGCAATGAGGCTGAGCAGCCAGGGACTGAAGCCATGAGGCAAAATAAATCTTTCCTTCTTTTAAGTTGTTTATCTCAGACATTTTGTGACAGTGATGGAAATCTGAGCAACACACTCTGCTCTCAAAAGGAACCATAGAAATCTTCCCTTCCCAGCCTGCTCTGCTGTGGAGCCTTGAACACCAGCCCCACTCCATGTCCTTGCTCTGCTGGATGCAGGGGCATCCCCTGGTGCAGACTGAAGAGAATCTTGCTGGGGAGAGTGCCCATGTGCCAACCCAGGCCCTTGCCACAAACTGGAGAAAGAAGGCTTCCCCCAAGGCAGAGGCTGGACTTCAGGCTCAGCCAGGCCACCTCAGGTGCCACAGCCCATGTTCTTCCTGTCACTGAGGTGCAGAATGGGCCCTGCTGGTGGGAGAGGGAGGATGCATGGAGAGCTCTTTTATGAGGCCAGGAGATTGTGAGAATGTCTAGAAAGAGATACAAACCTGTCGCAGCTGCATTGTGGGCTGAAGACACCGTTCGAGTGTGGGTGCTGGCGGAGTGAGGTGTGGACTAGTGTCTGCTGGAACTGGGGATCTTTTCCTCCTCTCAGGCTCTGACACAAAGAACACTGTAGAGCTAGAGGAAGACTTGGTTTTAGGCTCTCAACTCACACTTTATGTGAAGCAGATGCTCAAATTGTATACTAGTGAATGGATAAACGGACGAAGATGTACCCAACAGCTGTGCCCAGGGCTCCTCTGATTGGCTGTCTTTGCTGGCTTCCATCTGAAGGGCATCTTCCAACAGGTACAGCCCGACAGGGAAGAACAAGGACTCAGTGAGGACGCTGCTGTCCTCACCCATGGCGCTCGTCTCTCTGGCACGGCTCACTCAGTGCTGCCTTCTAATAAAAAGAAATATGCTTGAGTTTTGCAACTTTATGAATTTCATAATTTTTTTTGTTTTTAGCAGGTGCTTGGGCTAACTCCACCCCTTCCTTCTAGCAACAATAGTTCCAAAGATAGAAGTTCTTTTTCAATCATAGAAAAAACTGTTTTCTTACAGTAAACAAGAGCACTCATGCGATTGGATTCATTGAGAGATGTCCATTTCTTCCCCATGTGTTTACTGTTGCTAGGTGTTAGATCAAGTGTGATCTTTAGCATTTCATAAACCATTGCTAGTTGTAATCAGATAATGAAAATATATTTGGAATAATCTGTTTCAGATATTACATTTTTCTCACAGTTCATTTGAGCTTTGAGTAGAAGAATATCAAGCCTTAAATGAGTCTATAGTTCTGAGGCTGGCTGGAAATAATGTTTCTTTTGGGTAGCACAAAATATAGAGGATTCTTTTCTTTCACCTGTAGAAGAAGTATTCTTATAAAATACATCATACATGAACCTGAAATCTACTTTCTCCATCAGAGTTCTCAAAAGTATGATGAATAAAACTCAGTGGCCCTGAGAATGTGTCAGAGATGACACAGTGGCAGGCTGAGCCTGAATGACCAGAGACCTAGTGATGTCCGTTTGCTCTCATTCCTCTGCTTTGCCGTGACAGGGCCCACGCTAGCCTGGGAGGAGATGAAACACCACGTGTGGGAGAGCTAGGTGTCCCAGCCACCACCAGCCTGTGCCCAGCCTTCCTGAGAGCTGATGGCAGATACATGAGCCTGGCCTTGATTGGCAGAACTACCCAGGTAACTCAGTAATGATCGATGGTTATGATTTTAAGGCATTTATAACTGCAGAAATTTGGGAGATGCTGGTTACTTACCGATAACCAACTGAGCACACCTGGAGCACAAAAAGCATTTGGTAAATACAATGAATGTTTCCAGTTTTCTAGAAACTCACAAAATAAGTCCTAGTTTCACCACTGAATGTGCCATCCTTCCCTGGCCAACTCTCCTCTCTTGTCCCTGCTTGGCTCTCTTTTCTGCACAGCACACGTATCAATCAGTATATCAGTCACTGTTCTGCTGCTGAGACAAAACACTCAAAGGAGGAGTTTATTTGGCTCACAGTTTCCTGTGGGTTCAGTTCATGGTGAGCTGGCTCCAAGGCAGAAACAGCATGGTGGAAGGGCCTGGCGGAGAACAGCTGCTCATCCCAGGGCAGCCAGGAAGCAGAGAGAAAGAAAAAGTGGAGGACAAGAACATACTCCAGGAGTGGACACCTGCAGGGAGCCACTTCCAACTAGGCCCCCCCATCCTAATTAAGCCACGAACCCATCAATGGATGAATTCTCCCATGAGTATAAGCATCCCATGATTCAATCACCTTCCACACACATGAGACGGGGGCACATTTTAGATCCAAACCATAGTAGCCAGCTTTATAAATACTGAGCATCCTTCATTTTCTATTCTTCATTCTCAATAGAGAGTTCAAGAAAACAATCTAAAGGGATTCTTATCACAGAAGAAGGAGCAGAATCTATAAAATTCCTGGAACCATATTAAATTCACGCAACAAATGTAAAGTAAAAGGCTTCTCAGTTCCAGGCACCGCTGTTTGGGGTCAATTTGACCTCTTTCTATTTCTTCAGCAGGGCCCTGAACAGCAGTTGTCCCAGGCAAGCCTGAAAGTGCCAAGTGCATAGGGGGCACCGATTAACTATGCGTGGAGTGGGATGGAGTTAGAGAGAAACTGGCTATCTGGTTAGTTTTGGATTCACTTCTAGTTGTACCATTTCTGTGCAGTTTGACCTTTGCCCAACCCAGCCTTCTCTCTAAATGTGTTTCTTCTTCTGTACAATAAGAATGATTATGTCTGCTCTACTTATCTCATACATCACTGCAAGGATTAAATTAGATGGCATGTGTGAAAATGTGTTGTACACTCGAAAGGGCCATGTAATGCAGCGTAAGGCATTGTTGTGACTGCTCTGTTTCAAGCTCACAGTGGGAGACGGGATCCAGGAAGACTGGTGGGCACGCAGGGTGGCGGGGTGGGAGGCCAGCTGGTTTGCCTATCAATAAGAAAAGCATTCTGATGCATAGCGGAAAAGAAACATAAAGAAAAGCATCTGGAGAAAGCTGACGAGCCTGCAGTTGGAATTCCGGACTGACCGGGTTTAGAAACAGAAGCTCTGGGATGCTGAAAACATTGGAGGGCGCCCAGGCAGAAGCACTGCACTCGCTCCAGCACTGAGGCTTGTTGGTCCGCGTCCGTCTGTAACCGAACACAATGGCTTTGCCCCTTGCTGAGAGCAAAGATGATGAAAACATCAGGAGATAAAAGAGTGAAAAAAGCATGAAATAGGGAGCACGTTGGAGATAATTCTCACAGCAGTACCTGCCTGGAATGAAGAAAGCGAGGGACTTTTATTGGGGAAACATACATATTCATATAGGAAAAAGACTTCGGCACATATTCCTGAGCATGCTCAGTTGGAGGCCATATATCCTTACTAAAAGTGGTAGATCAGAGAATTTAGCAAGTTGACTTTAGGTCACTTAAACAGAGCAAGTCAGAGAGACTGGGTGATTTTGGCCGGTTCCTTCTAAGTTTCTCTAGAGGGCCTCAGTTGAAAACAAACTGAAATAAAACAATTTTGAACGGACATTAACAGTCCTTTAAAGAGAGAGTCTTGCCAGCAGAAGTGATTGTCCCTGAAAGTACCAGTCTACCAGCTAATTCTTCCAAGAGGAAGCTGCTTCCAGGATATGCCATATGCTCTGGTGAGAAAATGAGAACCCCTTCCAAATCTAGGTGAAGAAAATGGTGAGAGATGTAGCAGAGAAGAGCCAGAGCTTTTCACATGGACCAAAGAAAATGATACCAGTTAGGATGCAATGACAGACGTGCTACCAAAGTCCAGCTTGGGGAGGTCCCTCATTCTCCCCCTAATAAGAAATACTGAGATAGCTAAGAACTGGGATTGGTTCACTCAGTAGCTCCATAAAATCACCTAGGTCTCAATCCATCCCAACTCCCCTCTCTGCTACCCTGGCTGGGTGGTTTGCTTTGTGCCCATAGAGTGGGTTCTTTCCTGCAAAGATGCTGGCTACAATTCTATGGATGCCACACAGATGACTGAATCTCCATACCTCTTTAGGGGCAGGGAATAATTTTCCAGGTGTCCGCCAGCCGATTCCCCTGCCATTGCACTTCATCGTGACTTCATCTTTCCCCCAAGCTGTATTAGTCAGGATTCCCAGAGAAACAGAACCAATAGAAGACATGTAGACAGAGATGGATAGATACATGTGTTAATATATAATAATTAGTATATATGAATGGGCTCACATAATCATGGAAAGTCAGGCACCCCCAGATCTTCTGTCTGAGATCCCGGACAGCTGCTGGTGGTAAATTTCTAGTCCAGGTCCAGAGGACCGAGAAGACCAGTGTCCAGGCTCAGACAGTCAAGCAGGGAGAGTGGATTCTTCACCTAGACTTTTGTTGTTCTCAGGCATTCAACAAGTTGGATGGGGTTCATGCCTGCTTTGGGAAGGCCTCTGCTTTACTCAGTCTACTGATTCAAATGCTAATCTCATCCCCAAAATACTCTTACAGACACACCCAGAAGTAAGGATTAACCAAACAGCTGATGCCTCAAGTGAAGCTGACAATAAAACGAACCACCACACAAGCTAAGTTAGTCACCAACAAGTGGAGTAAATGACCATGAGTGGCTTAGGCTCATCAAGATTCACTCTGGGGCTGGAGAGGGAACCCAGCCCCCAAAGCCCAAGGCCTTTGGGTCCCTGGACACAGCCAGAAGGTGCCTCCTGGTGGGGATGCAATATCCAGATCTTATAGGCCAAGTGTCTTAAACTAGGTTCCCCAGGGGCAGCCTGGGCAGAGACCTGTGCAGGACACGTGGGAAGGGGTGCTCTCTGGAGGAGGGAGGACATGGCATGTAAGCTATGGGTCTGATTGATTCCACTCAGCCTTATGGTCTCCAGGTGCATCCATTTTCCTGCAAATGACTCGAGTTTGTTCTTCTTTGTGGCACAGTAGTAGCCCATTGTGTAGAAATTCCACATTTTCCTTATCCATTCATCTGGTGATTTAGCCATTTTGAATTGTGCTGCTATAAACATGGATGCGCATGTATCACTGTAATATGATGTCTTTAATTCTTTCAGAAAGATGCCTAGAGAGAGCTGGGTCAAATGGACTCTAGTCTTAGTTTTTAAGGTATCTCTATACTGATTTCCAGTTTGCATTCTCACTAACAGTGTGGAAGGGTTTCTTTTGCTCCACAGCAGAAATAATAATGTTACTATTTTATTTCTATATGAAGGCCATTCTTTTTGGACTGAGGTGGAATTTCAGAGTTGTTTTAATTTACATTTCTCTAGTGGCCAGAGATGTTGAACACTTTTTCATGTATTTGTTGTTTGCTTATACTTCTTCTGAGATGTGTCTATTCACTGAAGTTGCTCATTTTTGAGTAGGTCTATTAGTTTGGAGTTGGAGCCTAATTTTTGTGAGTTATTTATATATTCTAGATATGAGTCCTCTGAGGAATAGCTGGCAAAGGGGAAGGGGATGAAAAAAAATTAAGATGTGTTGTGCACATGTGCCAATTCCCCACAAGAAATGTAATAATTATGTATTATAAACTTGAACTAATAAAAAATAAAAATTGAAAAAATTAATTTAAAAAAAAGTAGAAGGGAGGAGGGGTCAGTAAAGGACGCAGGTAGGGGTGGCAGCTAAGTGAGGACAGACCTTCCCGGGTCCTCAGGAGCTGTGCAGCATGAATTGGACCACACAAGTTTGTCCCTCTTGCGTCTCCATGTTTGATCCTTTGTCAGTGTCTACGGTGGCTGAGGGTGGGGTAGCTTCCCCCAGGACAAGAGGAGTAATTCTCAGGAGAGGGGAGCCACTGTATTTGTCTGCCAGGGCTGTCAGCACAGAGGACATCCCCAAGAGTGTTTAGGGCTTTGGACTTTTGAAGTATTGGAATATTTGCATACACATGAGGAGGAACCTGGGCGGGGGGGACCCGAGTGCCAGCATGGTGTGTGTTTACATTTCACACATGCCTTCTTCCTGTGCTTAGCCTGAGGGTAATGATGTACACTGTTTTAAATGTGTCTGCATATAAACTGCAACCTGTATGCAAGGTCAGATGTGGAATTTGCCACTTGTACTGTCATATTGGTATTTTTAAAAACTTTGAATTTGGCAATATTTTGGATTTTGGGTGTTTGGATTTGGGGTACTCAGCTTTACCACACACTGGGTGCTTAAACAACAGCATATATTATTTCACTGTTCTGGAAGAGGAAGACTGAAATTAAGGCATAGGCAGGGTTGGTTTCTCCTGAGACCTTGCTCCTTGGTCTGTAGATGACCCCTTCTCCTTGAGTATTTGGACATTGTCTGCACTCTACAGCCATCTGTGTTCAAATTTCCTCTCTTTATAAGGCCCCTAGGCACATTGGATTGGGGTCCACTCTACTGAGCTCACCTTGACTTGGTCACCACTGTAGTCTTAGGTCCTAATAAGGCCCCATTCTGAAAGCCTGGGGTCTAAGACTTCAACACAGGAAGGTGAGTGTGGGCAGGGGTGAGCGGAGTGGGGAGAATAACACCACTTAGCCCGTGACCCCTGCCAACACATTTCCAGCAGCTGGGGAGTGGGGGGCCCCAGCTGAATAAGAGGCCCACAGATGGCACCCCCTACCCCACTCCACGGAGAACCTGGGAAGCAGGCTCTGGAGTTAGATAATTGTTG